AGAATACTTTCACTTTCAGGTGAAAATATTTGTGATCTTAGATTAGACAAATATTTTAAAAATATAATACTAAAATTGTGATCCATTAGAAAATATAAATTGGACTCGATCAAAATTGTGAAATTCTACTCTTCTGCTCATTGAAAGACACTGAAGGAAAATGAAGAGAGAAGCCATAGCTTGGGAAAAAATATTTGCAATTCATATATCTGATGAAGAATTGGATCCAAAATATATGAGTAACTCTCAAAAGCCAATAATGAGAAAACAATTTTGTAATAAGATTTGAGCAGACACTTCTCCAAAGAAGACATAATAATGGAAAATGGGCACATAAAAATATGCTTAACATCATTAGTCATGAGTTAAATGGATTTATATCCACAATGAGATACCATTACATTATATATAAAATTTAAAAAGATTGACCATACTACAGATGGCAAGGCCACGGAGCAACCAGAATTGCTGTATTCTACTACTGGAAGTGTAAAATGGTACATTCAAACATTAAGAAATAATTTGGCAGTTTCTTAAAGAGTAAACATATACTTCCATATGACACAGCCATTCCATTCTTATATATTTGCCAAGAGTAATGAATGCAAATGTTTTTAAAAGGTTTTCTACATGAATGTTCAAAGCAGCTGTATTCAAAATAGTGAAAAACCTGGGAAAAAACACAAGTATCTATCAACGGGTTACTGGATAATCAAATTATGATAAGCCTGTACAATGAAATACTACTTTTTCAATAAAAGGGAAAGAACTATATTTGTAGGATGGCTTCACTGTAAGAAAAAAAGAAGAAACTATTGATAAGCCAAAAACATAGGTGAATCTCAAACATATATGAGGAATGAAATTTTCTAGACATAAAGTCCATAGTGTACAATTATATTTATATAAAGTTCTTGAAAATATAATCTAAACTGTATAACAGAGCAGATAAGTTGCTGTCTACAAATGTGGAGGAGTGGCAGGCAGAAGGATTAGAAAAGGACAGAGAAGCTTCTGGAGGTGATGTTATCTTGATTACTGTTAGATTTTAGTGGGTGTATTCATATGTCAAAACATGCCATTAATTACACTTTAAATACGTTCAATCAATTATACCTCAATAACGCTATTAAAAAAGAGAGAAGGAAAGTCCCAAAGTTAAGCAAGCCACGTAGCCATCATGTCAGAGTAAAGCAAGAGCAAAGACCCCTAGGAAAGAGTTTTTCTAGCATGTTGGAAGGATGTAGGTGAGACCATTGTGTCAGAATAGGATGCATGCAATAAATATCCCTATTCTATGGACAAAAAGAATTGCTCAGAGAAAACAGGTACTTGACCAACATCACAGGTAGTGACTAGTAAAGCTAGGTTGATCTCAGGACGCTTACATGCTCAACCAGGATATTCTACAACCTGTTATTGATGTCTCATCATTGCAGTTTTCTGCTCTGTCCTCTTCTCCATATCTTATACTTGTTCCTCCCTCTGCTTGGATCTCTTACAAATCTTTACTGCTTCATGACACAGGTCAGGCATCTCTTTTCTTTACAATGTTCATTGTGCTAACCCAAGTTAGTTGTGCAGCCCAACGGTGTTCCACTACTGTGCACAGGATATCAAATGTTGCACATTTTACATGCTTTGAAACTGGATTTCCACTTGTTTGCTTCCTTTCTTGACAACTACTACTTTATTATAGTTTAATTATTGGTGTATGGTTAAATCAGGAAGAAACAGAAGGTGTTAAGCAAAATGGTTTATTTTCTTCCTTACTAATGTTTCTAGAGATTCTTAATTGTCTAATCCTAATACTAAATATTTGAGCCAGGGTGCTGGCTGTATTCTATGAAAGCAATCTGGGAAAAGCAAATAGAAGAAAGAAGAAAAAATGATAAACCCCCCAAACACAGATAAGGCACAGTTCTTGGGAGTCCTTGAGCAAGAATAGTGTATTTTGGCCCCATGTTTTATAGGAATACGGCATTCTTTTATATATACATGTACATGTCTAGTAGTTAAGGTTATTTCAAATCTGTTTGGCTTGCACATAACAAGAAAACAACTGAAAATAACATAAAAGATAATCACATCTAAGGGTTTTAGGATATGTCATTGGATCTGAAGAAGAGTTATGTAGGAAAGTCTCAGAAAGTGTGAGAAATAGGTCAGCTTCCAGATATTAGCAACAATAGTAGTCTAGACATTCATATAGAGCTCCGTCATTAACTTGACTCTGCTTCCAACTTCTTGTCTTTTAGTTTAAATACTAAATTCTTTCAAGAAGCAATCTGATGAGTCTACCTTTGTTTAGATAGTTGCTCTTGTATCAATTAACTGTATTCAGCACATTGGGTTGTAAGTATTACCACCTCTGTCCTTGGCTCATTGGTGGTGTAATCCTGTAAACGAGTATAGGGGAATCAATTACCAAGGAACTGGCATAAAACCAACTGTAGTATACGTTTCTGGAGATTATAGTGTGTTTCACTATTATTTTAGATTTCACATATACCCTGTAAATCCCCCACATGCATAGTCCTCCATCCCCATTGTCCACGTCCCCCACCAGAGTGCTACATTTGTTATAATTGATGACCTACATTGACACACCATTATCACCTAGTCTATAGTTTACATTAAGATTCACTCTTGGTGTTGTAAATTCTATGGGTCTGGGCTGGGCGCGGTGGCTCATGCCTGTAATCCCAGCATTTTGGGAGGCCGAGGCGGTTGGATCACGAGGTCAGGAGATCGAGACCATCCTAGCTAACAAGGTGAAACCTCGTCTCTACTAAAAATACAAAAAAAAAAAAAAAAAAAAAAAAAAAAAAAATTAGCCGGGCGTGGTGGCGGGCGCCTGTAGTCCCAGCTACTCAGGAGGCTGAGGCAGGAGAATGGTGTGAACCCGGGAGGCAGAGCTTGCAGTGAGCCAAGATGGCGCCACTGCACTGCAGCCTGGGTGACAGAGCGAGACTCCGTCTCAAAAACAAAAAACAAACAAACTAACAAAATTCTATGGGTTTGAACAAATTTTTCATAACATGTATCCACTATTATAGTGACCTACAGACTAGTTTCACTACCCTAAAAATTCCCTATGCTCTGCCTGTTCATTCCTCCCTTTGCTCAACCCCAGACAACCACATCTCTTTTTACTGTCTCCATAGTGTGGTCTTTTCCTGGATTTTAAATAGTTGGAATCACTTAGTAGGTAGCCTTTTCAGATTAGCTTCTTTCACTTAATATTCATTTAAGTTTCCTACATGTCTTTTTGTGGCTTGATAGCTCAATTCTTTGTAAGGCTGAATAATAGTCCATGCTGTCTATATGTACAACAGCATATCCATCTACCTACTGAAGAACATCATGGTTGCTTCCAAGTTTGGGCAATTGTGAATAAAGTTGCTATAAACTTCCATATGCAGGTTTTTGTATGGAAATAAGTTTTCAGCTCCTTTGGGTAAACATAGAGGAGCATGATTTCTGTGGCGTATGGTAAAAATATGTTTAGTTTTGTAAGAAACTACTAAACTGTTCTCCAAAATAGCTGTACCATTTTGCATTCTCACCAGCACATGCTGCTCCACATCTTTGCCAGCATTTGATATTGTCAGTGTTTCATTATTTAAAAATGCAGATTCATACTTAGAAAATAAGATATTAAAGCTTTGATTGTTTTGAGATATGATTCCTTATCTTTCCATTTGATCTCACCCTTAAAAGGAAAAAATGTGTTATGAAATAAGAGAAGAATTACGAAAATCTTAGTCTGTATTGAAACATCCTCCAATAAATTGTCACCTTGGATATATGTAGATTTATATCTTCATGCCCAGCTGAATAATTATACAAACCTTAACCATTGGCAGCTATTTCTGATGCACAATTACACCCATGTGGCTCTGATGAAACTGAAATAGGAGGTGATTGTGTTCGTAAGTATCATATTTTGCTTTTTAATAATGCTTTTAGAAACTAGACTATTTCAACAGATAATTATATTCTGCAGCTTTGGATGTTGAATTATACTGATATTTGACATAACCAAAGTCTGGTAGTTATCAAAAATAAAAATAACTTTATTGTGCCTTTAAGAAGTAGTCCTCGAGTTGGCAGAGGTACAGTTAGACAAATGTGTGTGTATTAGTAGAATCTTTCATAAGAAAATTTGGCAGTTCATATCAACATTCTTAAAACTCCATATGTGTTTGTACCTAAAAATTCTACTTTCAAAAATATGTCTTAGAGAACTATTTAGGGAAGTGTGCGAGCACAATATTTGTAACAGAATTTGTCTAATAATGTTTTTAAAAACCTGCAAACATCCAGTAACTGCTGATTGGCTGATTGATTCAATATTTCTGATACATAAACACTGATAAAATATTTTGCAAACACCATTAAAATATAGAAGTACATTATACAATACAACAGTACCTTTTTTTTTTTTAAGGGAACGATTGTATTTGTGTCAAATAAATCTTGAAAGATAAACATCAATGATGTTAATAGTGATCAAAATTTTTCTCTTCCTTTCAATATATAACTTTTATTTTCTATTTTTTAAATGTCTTAAAGGTTTTTCAAGTATTAAGAAATCCTCTTACTATAATATGCCTTAAAATAAATTAAGTACATTATCTAAGTGATAAAATGTATGTCATCTACCTACATTATGGGCAGAAATTGAAATTATTTATTGAAATATTAACCTTTTATGGGATTATTAGCCTTATCATATTTTCTGTTAGCTAAATATGATATTTGAAATGCATGAGAGACTGTTGAGATATAATTAATTTAATTAACAGAGGTGTTTTATATGGTGGAACAAGCCATAAATACATAAAATAAATCAGGATAGATCATATGATGTTCAAATATCAGGCCTAGAAATTATTATGCTTGGTATTTTATAAAGAGTTTTATAATAATACTCAAAATTTATCACTCTGAATTGATTTTTTATGCTCTATTTCATGCCCTATTCCAAATGGTTTTTCTAGCCCCTTTTTTCTGTATATTTTGACAACCTATTATCGTATGTGGAGGTCAGTTTAATTAAGCCCTGTGATTTGAGTTCATAAAGTAATAAAACAGTATTCGTAATAGCAGCATTAAATATAAAATGTAATTATTTGACTACTCTGCATAATAGATGTAAATTCTCTTTACAATATATATGTATTATAGCAAAATCACATTTTCCTCTTGAATAAATAATAAATTTCACCTACTTATGCTCTTTAGAACATTTATGCAATTAATTAAAAAAACTCTGCTATATAAATTGTACACAGTTTGAGGAAGCAACACTAAATAAAAGTATTAAGTCGAAAGTCAATAGATAAAGCTTCATGATAAAATGGAAAATGTATTAATATATTTAATACATACTAATATTAGAATTGACAAAGGAATACTAATTTTTATTTTCTAAGCAGAAATAATTTATTTGTTGTTTCTAAACCTTTTCCTTTAAATATAACAAATTTTCTTTGATCTATACTGTTGAAAGCAATGATCAATCTGCCCAGATAGTTCTCTATTTAAAGTGTTGATTCAAACATTTTAATTGTCATGAATTATTTTTTTCAGTCATTTGTCTTCTCTTATTCTTAATAATCATTTCCATACATAGCTTTTCCCTGTTTTAAAATAAATGTCCTTTTCCTAGTATATTTAAGGATAACTTTTTACTTAGCTATAAGATATTTAAAGATCAAATATATTTTCAAAAATATTGTGTTATTTCCTTCAAGTTTGAATATATTGCTTTGGTCTAATGTTTAAAATGTTTAGTAAAATATTCATTTACTAGATAAATTTGAAAATAATTCATTTGTCATTGGGACTATAACAAAATAACACTGTAAAATATCTAAAAGTACATTTTCTCCACAGAAAAGATTTTAAAGTCTTTCCAGAATTTTCCAAAATCTACATGGCAAGGCTGAAAGATTATTTTGTGATTGTCCTAAAATTAGCATATTTATAAAATAGAAAAATTATACATTTTAGAACATTTTAAAATCTTTTACAAATTTACCACTCAAATATTTTTCTCCTTTCTAAAACAGAACAAAACTAAACAAAAAACATATCCAGAAAACTTTCAGATCCGCAGATTTGATTTTGCAAATGCCCAGAGTTGAAAACTATATAGAATCTTCCTGTGAGTTCCTAGAGGAAACTTCAAATTTCTTTAACCTCAGAAAAATGAAAGGATTAAGATATTTCACTAAGATAGTATAATCACCTCTGCAATGAACAACTCTTTCAGCCCAGAGTAATGATGAGTTGAGTTATAAGAGAAAACTATAAAAGAGAAAGTCATTTTATTGTACATTCTTGTGACTATTTCTCATTATAACAAGGAATTATAATTTACTGAACCTTAATTTTGTTTGTTCTATCTTTTAGAAAAGATAATTGCTTCAAATAACACAAATTTCTTTTCAAGAGCTCGACTTTTCAAAGGCAGATATTCAGCCTGCATTAATATAAGCTTGAGCTCCTAAGTTGCTTGGCTATCAATATTTGTGTGATTATGGGTCAGAATATGAATGTATTACTTTGTTGATTGTTAGAAATAATCATTTTTCTAAATTTAGTTTGCTTTTTCTTAAGATGAAGCCCAGAGTTACAGTCTTTGAGTGCTTTTTCCATAAGCCAGTCTCCATTGTCTAAGATTCCCAGTTACAAGTTATGCATTTTCTCCCCAGGTCAGCTGACTGTCTCATTGCCACCTCCACCTGCAGGAAGGCCAGAGGTTCTGGTGGAGTTGATTGAGTCCAGGCTTTTCTGTAGGTGTTCTTTTGATGTTCCCTCTACAAACAACTCCGTGGGATTTCACATAGCTTGGTCTAGGCTTTCTTCTCAAGAAGTCAAAGAGGAGCTGAAACAAGAGACCACAGTTCAGGCATGCTCTCTTTTAGAACTTGATGGCATAAATCTCAGACTTGGAGACAGGGTATGTTAAAAAACAGTTGGATTTTATTTTCATAAATATGCTGATTTTCAAACACAATTTTTAAACATCATATCCTAAAAATAGATTTTGTCCCCAGAGTATAAAGCACTAACATTTTTTTTGTTTGTTTTTTTCCTTGCAGTTGTGCTAATTCTAGTGTCAACTGGATGAGTCAGTGATCTTAGTGACTGTATATGAATATATCATTTTAGTAATTTGCTGATTATTGATTAATCCTTATACATATATGTCTCTCTCAGGTTTTAAAATTATATACATTTATTCTAGAAAAAAAGTTTTAATTTTTTAAATGATAATATCACTTTTTAAGTACTTTTCTTTTTTATTGAGATGGAGTCTCGCTCTGTTACCAGACTGGAGTGCAGTGGCGTGATCTTGATTCACTGCAACCTCTGCCTCCCAGGTTCAAGCGATTCTCCTGCCTCAGCCTCCTGAGTTGCTGGGACTACAGGCGTGTGCCACAATGCCCGGCTAATTTTTGTATTTTTAGTAGAGATGAGGTTTCATTATGTTGGTCAGATGGTCTTGATCTCTTGACCTCATGATCTGCACTCCTCGGTCTCCCAAAGTGCTGGGATTACAGGCATGAGCCACTGTGCCCGCCCTTAAGTACTTTTTAAAACATCCTAAATAAAAAGCCTGCTATACTTTTTATTGAGGTTTGAATAAGTAATATTTTGTAATGATGGGATTTTTCTCAAATATCAAGTAAGCTTTTAAATTATTTAATTCTCTTATTACCTCTATATACTATCTACGAAGAATTAAAATTAGAATTTTAAAAATGATAATTTACACATGTTTTCTCCAAAATTGAATTGCTAAGTGATTATTTTTTCATTATATCCCTAGATATTCTGTAGCGCTTCTGTCTTTTTCTTGGATAATCCACATGTACAAAGTATAGCCATAGAAAGCCAAGAATTTTTTGCAGGCATTAAGGTACGTAGCAGTGGGGATGCATCAGAAAGATTATTCCTCTGGAACTATGTTTCCCAAACTGTAATCTGTCCGTGCTGGTTTCTGTACCTCATCACAGACTGAATCAGAATATTGAGACCCATGAGTCCCTGTATTTGAAGAAAAGCCCGAATTATTCTAATGGACAACAAAGTTTGAGGGGTCCTGTTAACTAAAGTTGAGATGTACTTTCAATTTTTAAAGAAATATCTCAAATTAGAGTAAAGCAAAAAGTCTGGTCTTCTAATTCATTCCATCACGTAACTAAAGTTAGCCTAGTGATATTTAGTTATCATGCATTTTGGAAGACAGATCCCAGGCCAAGTAGCAGAGTCTCTGACTGGAGTAGAACTGACCCAGAGCTATGAGTTTTATGGACTGCAAAGATTGAGCTAACTAAACAGAGAAGGAGATTTGGTTGTTGCTGGTAGCACCAGACCCAAGAACTGAAGAGCTATTCTAACAGATGAGCAGAGGTGACAGGGAATTAATAAGCAGTGGAAGATGTGGGGGCAATATCAAAAGGCAGGCAAGCACTGTGAACCTGGAAGGTCTCACACACAGGACTCGAGTTTGACCTAGATTCATTTCTAGTTCAACGACAAGATGAGATAAATGATAAAATTGTGACAATTGGACTTAGAACGAGGATAAACCCTGTTTATGAATAAAGTCCATGTACACACAGTAGGAACCAGGAAAAGAAGTGAGGAGAGTGGACCACATTGTCAGAATTGCATAACTACAGTGTGAGGGGAAGCAGAGGTCAAGCCTTGGGAATACAGGAACATTTTAGTTTACATTGGTTAGCATTCAGCAGACAGTGTCAGGGGCCAAAGGTCAGCACCCCCACCCTTGTACTGTTTCTGATTAGGCTAACAGGGAGAATATTCAGTACTAAGAAACATCTGTTTTGAGAGCTAGCCAAGACTCGAGACGGCACGAAAATATTCCTGCCTCAAAAAAGGATTGGCCTGTGAATGAGAATAGGGCCAATCCTGGGTTGCAACAGTTCTCAGGAAGTCCAACTCTGGAAATCAGATGCTGAGAAATAGGCTAAGTGTTGAGATATTTCAAGTGACAACAATAATTTGATTGATGTATTAAAAGTACTTAAGTTTCTAATTGAGATAGTGAGTATTAATCCTTAAGGAAAAACAGAGTCTTCTGTTGGTGTGTCAGTAAACATTAGCAATAAAATGGGAGAAAACAGAAATATTTCTTTCATCTTCACTTTCCAGTGTTCACCATAGAACCAGAATCATTGAAGCAGGCTTGGATACGATTTGCCAAATGTGTTGGGGAACCAAAGTGAGTCAAACTCAGAGTAGTGCAGCAGCTCCATGTACTCCTGTGCGTGCTGCTTGTATTTTCGTAGGTTTGATTTTAATGGTCTTGCTTAGTTAAAACATTGTAGGGCTTAAGTTATTACCAGCTCATTTAGCAAAATATGTGCTGTTGAGAAAAATGCCCTTTCAAAATTGTGCCTTAGAAATAAATTATATTTTAACATAATTTTTCTACATATTTTCTCATACCAGCTACAGCCTGAATTGAGCACTATATCAGAGGATGGGAAAGAATACTACCTGAGGATAGAAAGCACAATTCCTATTATTTGTTCTGAATTTAGTGAGCTTGATCAAGAATGCAAAATCTCATTAAAACTGCAAACTATTGATCAAGGTAATATAGTAACTTTATTTAATCTTATTATTAGATTGCAAACAAAAATGCTTTCTTTCCTGTAGGAAAAGTCACTGGAGTGTACTCATATAATAAATCATGTTGCATGTTGACCTCAAATTGTAGCCCAATCATATTACTAATACTGGGCCAAATTGATGATTGCCAAAGCAATTCGCATTTCTTCTTCTTGGCTGAAAGCATACATTTAAAAAAAAAAAAAAAAAGAATCGCGAATAATCTCCTCTTCATTGTCATCTTTCTCCTCTCACTCCTCTTTTTTCTCCTATTTTTTTCTCAGTCTCCTGTTTATTCTTCTCTTTGCTTGGTTTACAGAAATCCAGGGGAAACTGCTCTTTAAGATTTTTCAAATAATCCCCAATGAGGGACATTTGATAAGTTACATTAAAAGTTCAAGCTTATGAAATATAGATCTCATAATGCATCCTTCAAGCTTCTCTCCCTAATGTACATTTATGTTTGGGATCTCGTGTCTTAAAATTCTTCTATTTCAATTACTAATTGTATGGATGCTGTGATACATGGCCACATATGTGTCGACGGGTAGAGTAAGGAAATCCTCCCACATAACAAGATAGAATATGTGAGGACAAACCATGCATAGCCGTGATTGGCTTGACTATGTTCTTTTTCCCACTGAGCCTCTGATGTAGAGATCAAAGCAAGTTGCAGATACATAAATTAAAATGTAACCTTTAAGAGACATTACAATTTCATCGGCATACCACATACATTTTCACCATAGAACATACATTGTCTTTAGTAAATATACCAAACACAAGGTATCTATAGACCTTCATGTCTATATTATAAATAATTAAATCAGAGAAACAAGAGGATTTAAAAAAGCCAGGAGAGAGAGAGAGAGTTATTTGGAATGATGCACTCAAGAAAAGAGATGGCTAAAGAGATAGAGGAATTAAGAGAGGTCATCTCAGGATTGTTGACAGTAAACAGGCTCAGATAATACCCACCTACTCACTCAGGTTTCAGAAGCACCACGAGCAACACTATATTTTTAATTACAGCCCAGACATATTAAATTATACCCTCTCTCGGACTATTTGACACAATTCTACTTCAAGTTAGCTCTGAAAAGCATATTATGCAAATATTACTACAGTTTATGGAGAGAACAGAAAGAGGATGATGTTAATTGATGTTTTCCAAAATCATGTCAGTCAAAGATTTCCTTCAGTTACAGGTGTACTTTAAAATATATTTTCATGCTTTCAATTCTTTCAACAAAGCATGCATTGCTAAAATAATATAATAATAGCCTAAAAATATTTATACATTTTAGAAGTTTGTGTGCCTGTTCTTTTTCTCTGAGAATTAAAAATGGCTTTTGTTTTCTGAAGAAAAAATTCTGGATTTCATTCTGGATACTCCTCATTTTGTCCTCTTTAAGTACAGTAGCATTAAATCTTTACTTTCACAGGGAACCAGTTGGTGTCTGAGTGTATTTCTAAACAGACTATGCTGCTATTCACAGGCTTAAAGAGAACAACCCCTCATGTGTTGACTTGGGGAATTGATGTTATGGGCTGTATCTAAGCTAGAAATATTCTGTATTCACCTTAGAGAGTTGGTTAAGAGTTTGAATGTTTCTGGTTTTTTTTAGTGCATGGGGAAAGTATATATTTCTAAAAAAATAGTTCAGTGTGCTTATATCTGATTAACATATTTCATACCTTAAAAATCTGTATGGAAGAAAAGAAGATAGAACATTTTTTAACAACTTTTTTCCTTTTTGATTCTTAGGAGGACTTTGGAATCATTAATTGGATATGATAGTATAATTCCTCTTTGGCCAATTTTGGAGGCAAATCTGTTCTTTTTGTTTAGTTATACAAATTCCTGCAGTTCTTTTCTCTTTTTTTGCTACAATTCCCTTTCCAAATTATCTTTTATTCTTTATTATCGAAGTGAGGGAGCATCTCAAGCTTGTGAATATATTGGGACATTCGGGAGGTGAAAGAAGACAGCTTGTTATCATTATGAGATCATCTTCATTTGTTTTGATTTTTTTATTTTTTGAGATGATAAGCCCTTTATCAGTAATTAAAAGCCATTGCTACTATTCAACAATGGATGGAACATAAACACATAATGCTAAGAAATATTGCAGAAGTATCTGGGCCCAAGGTGCAAATCTTAGAAAAAATCATATTAGTATATATAATATTGTAATATATGTAATATGTAAAAGAATAAATGTTATTTATTCTTTTTGAATTTCCTTCAGTTGCATACAGGTTTATAACCTAATTGAAAATCGTAATATGTATTTATGTGTACATATGTATACATTATAGTTGATTAATTCTTTGTGAAAATCAGGTAAGTTCAATAGCTTTGACTTAATTTAGACAAAATTTGGAATATGCTTTAAGAAAGAGAAAATAATTTGAGAATAATCTTTCAATTCAGTGCTTCATGTTAATTAATTTATTACATGCTTTGGTTAGTATATTCTCTTGGAAATTTTTAAACCTATTTTTTCATTATATAGGTAGAGAGCACCTAGGCTTAAATTTGGCACTGTCTTCCTGTCATGTGGACCTTCACCAGACATCTTCCTGTGCTAATGGAACCTGTAGCCACACTTTTGTGTACTACACTGCTGTCACAGATTTTTCTCGAGATGGAGATAGAGTTACAAACATTGTAGTGCAACCAATAGTTAATGAGGATTTTCTGTGGAACAACTACATTCCAGACAGCATCCAGGTTTACAAATTACAAAACTATTATTGCAATTGAAGCTTTAAGAAGAAATGTGCATTTTATCATTATGTCTTATAAACTTTTTATGTAAAACATTTTTTGGTAAATTAGTTTTTAAATGATTCAATTTTAATAATTTTGATAAAAACAATACTTAAAAATTTGTTGAGATTGCTAAGCAATTTTTTATGTATCACTAAGTATAATTAATGATGATATTTACCAAAAATATCTTTGCTTTTAAGATCAAAGTAAAGGATGTCCCAACTGCTTACTGCTATTCATTTACTGACCCACATATAATTACATTTGATGGCAGGTAATTTCCTGAAAGTTTCTTCTTTTAGTAGTTTTGTTTGCTTTGATTTTGTTGTTTTATTTTAAACAGCATATTTTTTTATAATTTTTTAGTTCTAGTCACTGAAATTAGACAGAAAGGCATTACTGACTTGTTTCAAGATACTAGTTTATGTAGATTTTTTTGCCTTAAAATCTAATTCTTAGTAAAAAACATCCATTATTTGCAAGGCTGAACTTGTAAAAGTAAATATTATTACAAATGCAGAGAATCTTTTTTGCTAGACGCTTTTTAAATTTTTAATAATGATTAAATTATTTGCTCTAAAGATGTTTAGAACATTTCCATATGATACTAAAACAATGTTTAAGTTTAGGCAAAATAATTAAACATATTAGAATTATTTTTAAAACTAATTACTCCTAAGCCTTGACAAGAATATTCACGAAAAAACTATTATAACTATTATAGATACCTGGATATTTGCCTCTGGAATTTAAAGTAAAATGGGAAAAAGACCAAAAAGTAATCTAAACTATTTTGTTATTAATATCTGCATAGAAAGATTTAAACTCAGTTATATTCTTCTGGGAGATTCATAATTCTGAGATGTCTGTAAGGAAAATGATAAGAATGTCTTAGTGTTGCATCAACATTTTTTTCATGATGCAAGATGGTTTGTGGTTTGCCTAAAAAAGTGTAATATGATCATTGTCAGTAAAATTATTCAATATGTAGAAACTGTTCTATAAAAAAATTGTTCTCCAATGGTGTCAACAGGTGTTAAGAACCTGAAGGAACTGATCTCACAGGCAAGAATCTTTTATGGCTATAAGTAAAGGCTTAGACATTTTAGTGGAAAAACCTCAAGAAAGCGTAGTAGTGATGAATTTATTCTGACAATTCAACAAGATTAATTATGCAACAAGTAGGTGAAAAGCCAAGTTCTAAGGACTGGGAGTATTGAACAAAACGAACATTCTCTATCCTCATGGAGCTGGCCTTTGCAAAGGTGAAGAGAGATAGAAACACATTTAATAAGTAAAATACAAAGTGTGTCTGAGGAAGATACTTGCTGTGAAGAAAACTAAATTGGGTGGAAAGGGAAGGCTGAAAAGAGGGGTTGCAATTTATATTACAATAGAGTGGTTATGAAAAGCCATTTGGTGAGGGTGACATTTAACAAGTACTCAAAGATAAGGGAGATAGTCACGTGGGTACACATATGGCGAGAAGACCATTGAGCCGGCCTGCCCTGCTCAAGGAGAGCAGCTTGACTGGAGTGGTGAAAGGGAAGAAAGGAGTAGTGGGAGAGATTGAGGCGTTTACAGCTACTTTGTTTCCTTCAGTGCACACAACAAAATGCTCATGATACATAAAGCTATTGCAAATCAATAACATACTACTGTGATATTTTACACGATTTTTTAATGCAATTGCCTTTTGTTAATGATAGGGTATATGATAATTTCAAGACTGGAACATTTGTGCTTTATAAGAGTATGTCACGTGATTTTGAAGTCCATGTACGTCAGTGGGACTGCGGAAGTCTTCACTATCCAGTGTCATGTAATTGTGGGTTTGTTGCCCATGAAGGAGGTGATATAGTCACTTTTGATATGTGCAGTGGTCAGCTACGTGAATCACAACCATATTTATTTGTAAAAAGCCAAGATGTAACCAGGAATATCAAGATAAGTGAATCTTACTTAGGAAGAAAAGTCACAGTATGTATGATTCTTTAACATTAAAAGTATTTTTCCTTTCTCTCCTTTCAGATAAACATCTCTATTAAATTAGGAGCTATCATTTTTCAACATTAGTTTGTTTAACAAAATAGCATTTATATTAACCATCATCTTAGAGGGAATACTTTTCTTTTCACTTACCACACACAAATACACACAACATAGTTAAAATCATGTAAAATTTAAACTGCCATATTTAAGATTTTAGTATGACAACTTGGTGGATTACTTAATAAAATTATTTTTGACAATGTGTAATAAGTAGTATATTAGACAGAGATGACAGACATAATTAAGAATGAATATTTAGGAATAATTAACCAGTTTTTGAAATGAATATTGTGTAGTACTACCTAAGGAATGGGCTGGTAGATAAGTGTAATAGAATATGAAGTCAGGAAACAAACCTAAGCTTATATATTCACTAATATTTTTAATTCTTTTTCCTTTACTCCTGGCAAGCTAATATTTTTTTAAAGATTATACTTCATATCTGTGAGAAAACTATTTGTATTTTCAGGTCATAGCCACTTTCCACTCATCTTTCAAACAAGTAATTCCAAGTCAGTGAAATTTAAATTTAAATAAAAGCATTAAAAATTTAAGTTTATGTTTGTATAATATTTACTGAAGTGAAAAATCATTTTTGAAAATACATTATGTATTCGAATTCCATCACTGAAAACCAAAATGCAAATCAAAAATTGGGAAAATATTTGCTACATATAAAACATAGGTCAGATAGAAAAAACTCATGCATCACTAATGTATAATCAGCATTCTGATTAAAATGAGCAAATAATATAAAAAACCTTTTCACAAAAGAAATAAAACTGATATGTTCAAAAGTACAAAAACCAATAAAAATACGAAAAATTTAACCTTATTAGAAGTCAAATAGATGAATAAATAAATAAAGATTGAACATCTCTCATACAATATCAAGAAGAGTAGAGATAGTACATTTAGTAACAGTCTTTCCAGGGAACATATATATCATATATAACCTGCACCTATGTGTGCTATTTTGCCAAGAAATTTTACTCCAGGAAATTTATTGTAAAATAATAGTTAAGGATGTGCATACCCCCAGTGATGTTTATTGTATCTTTCCTTATAAGAGGAAAAAGTTATGGTTAAGTAGTGATCAATAAACAGGTTTAACTAAAACTCTAAATACAGTGATGTCATATAGTAGAACACTTTGTAGTCATGAAAATGATGGAGTAGGTGAGTAGGTTTATTGACAGGCAAAGATATGCCCAAAATATGAAAGAGGCTTTTGAAGAATTTGCATCAAAATCTTAATTTTAGCTACCTTAAGTTGGTTTGGAATGTAAAATTTGTCTGTTTTTTAAATAATTTAATGTAACTAGCGCAGACCATTTTTGTAAAAAGAGAAAAAAGAGCTATTTTTAAATTTTAAGAAAATTGAAAGGGGAAAAACAACCAGAAGAGCAAACACAGTGGTGTATCTTCAGTGATTTTAGAAGAGATAGCTTCTCCACGTATACAGTACATCAAAGTGGCCGGTCTGGAAGAGGTGATATTCCTGTGATGGGAGAGGTGGTTCACAGTTAGATTTCACAGGCTACTAGGGTCATTCAGCAAACTCTCCTTGCTCAGATTGCCAACTCCTCAAGCTACCTTCTAGTTATAATTTAGCTTCTGATTCTGTTTGTCTACTGGCAGCTAGAGAATGATAATTAGCTGTAGGCACATGTACTCCTCTAAAATTATATTCATCTGTGTAAATTAATTACTTGTCAATCTAATTCTGTATTAAATAATTATTATCAGAAACATTACTTGGTAAACATCTTCCTCAATATCTGTAATGTATTAATTATATAAATTATCTCATTTTAGTTTAAATTATTTAAAGAAAGAAG